TACGGTATAATATCATTGTCATATATATATATATATATATATATATATATATGGAAGTAAACGATAAGATGATCTCTGGTGGAGAATATTTACATATACCTATGAATGAAGATTCAATATTTAGATATCTTATCGTTTTCATCATCCCCTAAAGATGACGAAGTAAATTGGACGAGCTCAAAGACTAAAGTGTATTTAGACTTAAGTTTCGGAAACATTCTTGGTTTTATCGTCAGATTAGTGTGACGGTTCTTTCTGCCGGCCGGCACGGCGAATCTGAAGTCTGGGCTTTTATCTAGTGTCTATGTCGTGAGTACGGCATAATATCTTTGTAATATACAACCATACGACTTCTCGTACTACTTGTTTGTAGAATGGACATTACGTGGTTATTCCACATCAGTTGATTTTCTTCGACTCAAATGTTCATTGAAATTTCTGATCCTAAAAACGCATGCCCCTGTCATTTAACTTCATGTTATGCCCTTAGTACTTTCTGAAATGATTCCGTTGTGTTATCTATGGCAAAGGCCTTATGATATACTTCCGACATACCGTACCCTCGACTGCCTGCGGGGGCTCTCGGTCGAGCTAAAAGGCGCAAAGTGCCAAACATGTAACGTAACCTGATCGGTGAAATACTTCCACTGTAATTAACATTCCCGACTACAGTGGCTAGCGAGCCAGTGGCTAAATGATAGAACGCTAGACTAAGCGTTCGAGTATCAAAAATACGGGCGCAAATCGCAGTTCATTCTAACTCTGACTTGGCTGACTGACGATAGCTAAGAAGTCAGAAATGGCCACCCGTTTCCGTTGTCTTTGTCAGTATTCGTTTAGCACAGTTCTAAACGCATATATGTCAATACCAAGTCGATAATTTGAACGAACCTTCTGCAATGTTTCTTCCAGTATAACAATGTTAATCAATGTTAAAGCTGCTACTATATATAGTAAAAGGCACGAAAACTTTACCTGCTTTGGAGTTATTATTCCGACCAAACGTTGGTCGACTCGGTCCGGGCACAGAAGAGCTACGAGCTTTGGGAGTTTGATCTATCTTTGTAACTTGACGCGTAGTTGCATTTTCTATGTCATCCAGTAAATTGGTGAGATCATCGACCACTAAATCCTCAAACGGTGATTTTGATCGTGTTTTCTGTTCCTGTGAAGTGTCGCCTCGTTTGGGCACAAAACCAGTTTGAGGTCTAAATAAAAAGGAAAAAATGGATGAAAGACACGATGGTTGTCCCAAACACCGAACACAAATACGACAGAGAAGGTCAGTACGAGCGGCTACAGGAAAATATAATAAGAGTCTACAAGTCATTCTCACTCTAACGCTGCGTGGATTTGTGGCACTCCGTTCAGGTTGGCTGATATGCTGTCCAATCTGCTTCGAAAGAAAGTGCTCAAGGAGCCGAGTAAATTTTCATAAACACGAACGGTAGCGATGTGGCCACAGCTAAGCCAGGAAACTGTAGAGCGCACGTCCATAGCATCCAGCGATTAGGACGCGCGCAGGTGCGTTTATGTTAGATTGACTCTTTTCGGGAATTAAGGCATTCCAAACAAACCAAATGAAATTTGTGGAAGGATTACTCGTATGGCCCCCTAAATAAGAAACGGGAATAGGCACGCTCTACCCAAGGAACAAAAGGCAGCTCTGGACATAATTCCATAAAATGCATCGGCTTTTACGTGGAACCTGTGGTACCAGTAATTACATAAGTTATAGTAATGTCTAAATGTTGGCAGTTTGTGAGGAATACACGGTTATCCCACAGAAGCTGATGGATTTCGGCCCAAATATTTACACCACATTTCGATCTTGTGCTTGTAGACCTCAAATATACTGATCTACTCCAAGTTCAAAAATAAATTTGAAAATATTACCTCGTCCTGACCCTAGCACAAACCCTGATGTAGACCTAAACGGTAGCTCTGATCTTAACCCTAACCATACCCTAAACTCTAAGCCCACAATTAACACTTACTCTAACCCTTACTCTAAATTTAACCCCATCTAACCTTTACGCTGGCCTTAACCTTAATCTTAAACGTAACCCCAATCCAAAGCATAAACCTAATCCTATTCTGCTTGGTAGTTGGTGCAAAGACACCTGTATTGTGGGTGGTCCCTCTACTCATGTCTCAGTTATGGGATCATATAAGTCATCCTTACCGAAATTTGCTAATCAGGTGAATTCGGGTGAGTTTATCTTACCCAGCATTTGTGTCTTCGTCTGATGCACTGTCCCAGTCTTCGCTACTTTCTAGTGTGGTCGCTTTAGCTAAAGCCGGTTGTGCCGACTCTGACTTTGGAGCCGATTGCAAGACAGCTATCCTGCAAGGCTCAGCTACAGTTGGCGGCGGGGCAGCCTCCTCGCGGATCATGGCCTTTGGAGTGATGTCCTGAGAGAGACGTCGGTCACCACGGCTAGTACTAAGGCGACGCTTCGCTGACGGCATTGTCGGCTCTCCAACGTCAACGCCCATCTCTTCTCCCTCAAAACTGATTTCTTCAATGTCCGGCTGACTAGTTGTTCTTAGATATCTGCCAAAAGGATGATTTTTACTGAAAATGAAACTGCTAAGTGAAGGTAGCCAATGACTAAATTTATTGGTCTGTGGGACCTGGTACAGGTCCCTAAGGAAAGGCACAGACAGAGAGGGGCGTTATCCTATTAAAATTTAATTCGTTCCAAAGTTTATTCATTACTGTATTTCATGATGGGAGTGCTTCGTGGACTGACGATGGGAGAGACCAGCAATCGCTTACTTTAGGCTCAGGAGGGCCGTGCATTAGTTTCTGGAGTATGCATAGTTCCTGCATAGTAAAACGCACGAGAAAGTTGGAGACCCACCGATGAGCTGAACCCCTATCGGCGAAACACGCGTGTCTGGGCTTTTAGCTAGTATCTGTGTCGTCAGTCTGGTAAATATTTACATGGTGTATACGGTTGGCCACCTGTTGGCTGCTTTGGAATATTTCGCCGTTCTTTCACAGAATCTGATTGATTTCATCTCAAATATTCATAGCTACTCTCGGATGGAGCCTGAAAAGTTTTTTCTGAAGGATTTACTCAAAGTTCGCGCGTGAATTCCCTCGGCAATTAAACTCGTTAGGCCAAGTAAAGAGTCCAGCTTGTCGTTCATTTTTTTGCTCATGAAAATCCAGATCCAGCTCGTCCGTGTTACCGATCCGACTGAGTAAACCGCAAATATACCTAATAAAACACCTGGTTTCCTACAAGTTTCTGCGAGGTATGCGCAAACCGATGTTTTTTTTTCACGAGAATTATTCTTACGGCTAGACGAGAAAATGCTCCTGGGCACCGGTTCTTTAGCAATTCATAAATCCAATTGCCTTATTTGTCTTTCAGTTTTCATGTTCAGAAGGAACGTAACCAACCTACAAGCCCGACGTACTCCTAGATGTTTGAAGCTGGCGGTTGACCCAGAAGTCATATTTCGGGGGGCTTATCATTTAATGGAGCCCAAGCGTCGCAGTGGCGGCGAACCTGGGTGGGTTATCAATTACTGAAATGGATAAAGAGTCGCGTTATTTACAGATAGCCACCCTACACACACGGCCGCTTACCGTTCACTCCGTGAGCCACCGGGATGTTCCGAGACCTCCTCAAAGAGCGAGAAAGTTGACTGCGTATGTGTGCTCTCGTTCAGTCCATTCATCGCTATGGTACCCGTGCTACCTTCTCGTTGCGGACGCCTGGCCCGCAACTGGGATATTCCGGCTGGGGAGGTGTGTGGCGAAGTTGAAGGTTGTTTCGGCTGGGAAGAAGAGGCTCGAGTGACATCGTTGCTCACTTCCCCCTCAGCAACAGCTAAGGTGTTGCTATTGACAGAGCTGGCGCTCATACGGGGTTTCTTTGACTGATTAGCTGCGGGCATCGGCTTTCCAAGATAATCGCGGTCACGTTTGGAATGCAAAGCAATTCGGGCCATCCGGTCCACCTGCTGAGCAATAGACTACAAAACGAAATGAAGGAGAGTTTGCAAGAGATAAAGGGGACACAATCGATTTTCAGCCACTGCCGCAACATAAAGATCAGACAGTCACTTTATCCGAAGGAGAGCTCGTTTATACACAGAGGACTGTCCTCGAGGCACTGGAAGACTGACAATATTCAATTTTTTTCTTAATTTTCAAGCTTTGGCCATTTTTCTTGGCTGTACTTTCTGAGTGAACTTCGCTGAAGTATTTAAGCACGTTGTTCTTGGTTATTACAAATTTTCCGTCAATATGAAAGCGCCAAAAGGCAGGTTTGTTCTGGATGAAGACAGTTCTCAGTGGTAGAGGGGGCTCACGAAACGCGCTACGGGGT